CTCACTTTACTCCCCTAATAGTCCTATAAAACAGATATTATTACTTATTTCGATTGTAAAGACATGGTGTTGGAGCAGGAATGGTCACTGAACAGGTTTTCTGATCCAGCAGACTGGGTAAAGGAGGAATCGGAGTCCTCAGTGGTTTTGCGGGTTTTTATTGGGATTACCAGGTACACGGCAGGCTGGGGTGCTGGGGGGCCGGTAGGCTGGCAGACCTCCCAGCCCCCAGCAGGTCTTCACTCTGGGCTCTCCGGCCTTCTCTCGGCTTCGGCTTCGGCTTCGGCTTCTGCTTCTCTTGCTTCTCTCTCGGCTTCTCTTTTGGCTTCTGCTGGCGTCCCCATGGTGCCGCCCTTAAAAGCCCAGTCTTAGCCCAGATGAATCTCATCTACCTACGCCCACACCCTACTCCAGGTGCCCACCATCAGGCACGCATTCAGGACCACAAGGATCCATCATCTATCCTGATGGCGGGAGGGCAGAAAAGCCTGACATATTTCTTTACCCTACACATGGGTATGGTGTCATAAAGAGAATTGTAGCGTCAGGAAGGGGACGAAGCAGGATATCTATAATTGAGCAGACATGCAAAGGAGGAGTCCTGGAGCCCTCGGTGGCTTTCACTGAGTTTACCAGGTTCACAGCAGGCAGGAGTGCTGGGGGACCTGAGAGGCTGGCAGGCCTCCCAGTCCCCAGCAAGGCTTCACTCTCTCTGGGCTCTCCGGCGATCTCTCTCTGCTTCTCTTTCGCTCTTTCATTCTGCTGTTCCTCTGGCATCCCTGTGACGCTGCCCTTACATAAGCCCAGTCGTACACACTTACGTATGCCCACACCCTACTCCGGGCGCCCACCATCTGGCCTGCATTCAGGACCGCAGGGATCCATTATCAAAGCTGATGGCAGAACGGCAGAAAAGCCTGATACCTTTTATTTACCCTACAATGATAAATAACTTGCCACAAGTCACAAGAAAAGAATTGGAATAAGGAATTGATTCCAGGCACTCTGACTCCTGAGTCAGTGCTCCTATCCTGCTCTGCTGGGCAAGCTCTTCTCTTCGATATACCATCCTGAGCAAAAGATGTCCCTCAGGAGTACCGATCAGCACACCTATGGACTAAGAGAACAAAGGCTAACGCATATTCAACCTCACAGATATGTAGGAATGAGTGTAAGGACTGGAACAGGTGTAGGGACAGGAACAGGGCACTGAGCAGGTTTTCTGATCCAGCAGACCAGGTAAAGGAGGAGTCAGAGTCCTGGAGTCCTCAGTGGCTTTTGCAGGCTTTTTATTGGGATTTACCAGGTATACAGCAGGCAGGGGTGCTGGGGGGCCGGGAGGCTGACAGGCTGTAGGGTAAGGAAAAATGTCAGGCTTTACTGCCCTCCCGCCATCAGGATAGATGATGGATCCTTGAGGTCCTGATGGCGGGCACCTGGAATAGGGTATGCCTGATGGCGGGCACCTGGAATAGGGTATGGGCAGATGTAGACAGGATTAACCTGGACTAAGACTGGGCTTTTAAGAGCAGGCGTCATGGGAATGCCAGTAGAAGCCAAAACGAGTAGAAGCCGAAGGAAAATCCAAGAGAGAAGCAGCAGAAGCTGAGAGAGAAGCAGAGAACGCCGGAGAGCCCATGTAGGGTAAGGAAAAATGTCAGGCTTTTCTGCCCTCCCGCCATCAGGATAGATGATGGATCCTTGCAGTCCTGAATGCATGCCTGATGGCGGGCACCTGGAATAGGGTGTGGGCATAGGTAGATGAGATTCACCTGGGCTAAGACTGCGCTTTTAAGGGTGGTGTCACGGGGACGCCAGCAGAAGCTGAGAAGAAGCTGAAAGAGAAGCCAAGAGAGAAGGCCAGAGGGCCCTGAGTGAAGACCTGCTGTGAAGCTGGGAAGCCTGCCAGCCTCCCAGCCTCCCAGCTCCCCTGCCTGCCGTGTGCCTTGTAATCTAAATAAAAAACCTGCAAAAAACCACTGAGGACTCTGACTCCTCCTTTACCCAGTCTGCATGAGGTAAGAAAACCTGCTCAGTGGTCCTTCCTGCCTTACAGCCCAGATAGAGTGAAGACACGCTGGGGCTGGGAGGCCTGCCAGCCTCCTGGCCCCCAGCACCCTTGCCTGATGTGTACAGGGTAAATCACAATAAAAGACCTGCAAAAACCACTTAGGACTCTGACTCCTCCTTTATCCGGTCTGCTAGATCATAGAAAACCTGCTCAGAGTCCATTCCTGCCTCTACACAGGCCTCCCAGCTCCCAGCAAGTCTTCACTCTATCTGGGCTCTCTGGCGTTCTCTCTGCTTCTCTCTCACCTTCTGTTTGTTCTTGGTTTCTGTTCGTTCTTGGTGTCCCTGTGACGCCGCCCTTATAAACTCAGTCTCTCAGCCCAGGTGTACCCACTTCAGGTGCCCACCATCAGGCATGCATTCAGGACCACAGGGTGTTGCCTCATCTATCCTAATGGCGGGAGGGCAGAAAAACCTGATACTTTTTCCGTACCCTACAACTGGATATTTACTATGGTCAAACATTTTGAAACCTGCCTGTAGGGTAAGTGATTCAATCAGGCTTTTTATGCCACTAGCCTCTGTGGCTATCACCTGAGGTCTTGCTTGTGCTAACGCAGGAGGCACTTGGGAGTGTGGGTACAGGGCATGTGTGCCTGATTGTGAGCGCCTGAACTATGGGTGCACACACATGTGTAAGTGTGCACACCTGAGCCTAGATATCAGGGCTGTAAGGGCAGCATTACTCAGAGGACAATGGCTACGCGATAATAGCTATGAGAGACAAATGACTAGAGAAGAGGCAAGGCCTTGAGAGAATGCCAGACAGCCCAGAGAGTAAAGATTCGTGGGTGGCTTGGAGGCTCTCTGCTTGCCTACCTCCCAGCCTCCTCCTCCTCCCCCCATCCCCTAGCACACGCTTGCCTCCTTGCACACCAGCCTCTCTGTTGGGTGTCCCTGTGTACCTGGTTCCTTAAGAGAGCATTCAAGGACACACAAACATTAATTCAAAAGGGCACCTGCACCCCTATGTCTATAGCAGCACTATTTACAATAGCTAAGCTTTGGAAACAACTCAAATGCCCAAAAACAGATGACTGGATCAAGAAGATGTGGTATATAAACACCATGGAATATTACTCAGCATTCAAAAAAGATAAACTTATGCCATTTGCAGCAACACGGATGGAGCTGGAAGGGATCATGCTCAGCAAAATAAGCCAGAAAGAAAAAGAAAAATACCGGATGGTCTCACTCATAGCAGGAATTTAGAAAACCTGAATAAGGGACCAGGAAAATGACTAATTATAATAAAGAAAAAACCAAAATCAAGAATCAACTATAAACCAGAGACACACTACACAGGTGGGGGAGGGGGCGAGGAGAAGAGGGATTAGGGTCAAAATAAGGGGGATGGGAATTGTATGGGGAATAAAAATGAAAATGCATACATTGTGCAAAAACGAAAAATGATGTAAGAATTATATAAAATAAATTTAAAAAAGAGAGAGAGCGCACATTCAAGCCTGAAATATCCACTGAGGGCTCCGGGACTCTCCTTTATCCATCTGCCTAAATCGACAGGAACCTGCCCTATGCATGCTTGCACAACACTGCCACATTTAAAAAAATAAACTTCTGTAACTCCAGAAATGGGCACCAGAAGTCAGTTCCTCATTTGAGTTTCCCACACTTTAGCGTTTTGAAATTTGACCAAAATGGGATTTCTAGTTCCCATATTATGAAATTATCTTATACAGAATTTCCCTTGTTCAAAGTTAAAATATTTTAAAACTTGGATTTGAAGGTGTCAGGAAATTTACAGTTAATTATGTAGTCAAATACCTGTATTTGTTTTTAACCCTCTCAAAATGATACATAAATTATGATCCATTATTTCAATGAAATCCAAAAAATGTAGGTTCAAGAAACAAATCATTGGAGTCAAACTCAAATTTTTTAAACTGCCATCATTGAGTAATTTCTACCATAATTCTCAAGTACTCTGTTGCTTTATATTTTAACTTGTCCCCAGGGATATGAAATGTTTCTTCTCAGAATTCCAATCCATCTAAAACTTCTCAACCCAAAACCATAGTCTGGTCCAACTCTGTTAAAACTGAGTAAAATATATGAAGTGAAACTCACCATGGAGAACTACACATTCCCTCACAAGACCTCCTAATTTCCTCTCCCTTTATCTACCTGGCAAACATTTCTGTCATAGATGACAACTTTCCTCATGTGAAAGCAGCTGTTATACTTTTTCAAACTGGAAGAGATTTCAAGAAAAAAGTTTATAGACCTTGACCCAAGGTTGATTAATGAATTTCTTAAAGTCCTCCAAACTTCACATATATCAAAGCTCCCCAAAGATATTTTTAATAAGTGAAATAAGTTAAATCTACATTTCACTCACCATCACACTGGATGGTTAACAATTTTAGTGCTTCATATAAACCCCCTGCACCATTCTAGGCTCTCATTTCATCATCTCAACAAAAATATGTACATACAATTATGTACATAATTGTACAAAATATGTACATACAAAACAGATGAGGAAACAGATGCAGAACTGTTGATTCATATGTCTGATCTAATACCCAATAATTGGAGGATCTGGAATTTGGGTCGAATAACCCAAATCTGGGTCTAATAACCCTTAAATGTTAGAAATTATGTATTTTTATCGCTCAGAAATCTGAACACCAAAAGATAAATGCGATTTTGTTCTCCTACTTGGTTGTAATATGCAGCTCTTTATTCTTCCGGTATGTAGATACAGAAGATAAACTGTAGGAAGGATACTATATGAGAAAAAATAACTAGACTGATTTATTCAAGCATAGTAGATTGAGTACATAAGTTTAGGAAACAAAGAGCTCTTCTTAGAAAATCCCCCATTACACATGTGAAAAAGAGGAACAACAAAGAGTATAAGAAAGCAGAAGGAGGTTTGTTTCACTTATTCTTCAAGGGCTGAACTAATGACAGCCTCGAGCAGAAGACACTGTGCTGAGTGCCCCCCCAACAAAGGTGAATTTCTATTTTATTATGAGTGGCTTGCTTAAAAAAGATAGAATATGCTCAAGGAAAAAATGCTTTAGAGCTAACGTTTTATAAACTATAAATGATGAGACAAGGGAGTTATATAATGGCCAGCAAGCTAACATGAATTATTGCCCTATAAATGGGGTTTCCTTTTACTAGCATGTTGAAAGTAGCAATTCTGAATGGGACAGACCTGTTATTTGTATTTCAGAAGGACGTGAAAGTAATGACACTGGTGCAAATACCAGAAATGTATTAAGTGCCTTAGCAATTCTATACAAAATAATTAATAGAATTATAGAATTAATAAATAATTCTATACAAAAATGAGTGCCTTCTGAACAAATGTACTGAATGATCTGAATAAATGTAAGGTGTTAATATGCTAAAGTCTGATTCTTAAAAGTAAGAATTCAAACTTAAGTGCAGTTTTTTGTTCTAGCTTGTTTATGTTTATTTGCAACAGCTGATGATGGAAACCATGAACACCACAGTGCTGAAGGGCTCCAATGATTCTGAGTGGTGCCCCAGGGACACACGGGTGGCACATCTGGTGTTTCCAGCTGTCTACACTGTCCTTTTCCTTGTGGGCATCTTGCTGAACACTCTGGCCCTCTGGGTGTTCATTCACATCCCGAGCTCCTCCACCTTCATCGTGTACCTCAAGAACACTTTGGTGGCTGACTTGATAATGACGCTCATGCTTCCATTTAAGATCCTCTCTGATGCACACCTTGGACCCTGGCAGCTCAGAGCTTTCGTGTGCCGTTTCTCTGCTATCATCTTTTACCAGGTCATGTATGTGGGTATCATACTGCTAGGACTCATTGCCTTTGACAGGTTCCTCAAGATCCTCAGACCATTTGGAAAATTTTTCGTACAAAAACCTGCCTTTGCAAAAACAGTGGCAAGCTTCATCTGGTTCCTTTTGTTCTTCATCTCCCTGCCAAATATTATCTTAAGCAACAAAGAAGCTACACCGTCATCTGTGAAAAAGTGTTCCTCTTTGAAGGGCCCCTTGGGGCTGAAGTGGCATCAAGTGGTAAATTACATATCCCAGTTTATTTTCTGGACTGTTTTTGTCCTAATGCTTTTGTTTTATGTGGTGATTGCAAAAAAAGTATATAATTCTTATCAAAAATCCAAAAGTAAGGACAGCAAAAACAAAAAAAAGCTGGAAGGTAAAGTATTTGTTGTTGTAGCTGTCTTCTTTTTGTGTTTTGCACCATTTCATTTTGTCAGAATTCCTTATACGCAAAGTCAAACCAATACTAAAACTGACTGTAGATTGCAAAATCGACTGTTTGTAGCTAAAGAAACAACTCTCTTTATGGCAGCAACTAACATTTGTATGGACCCCTTAATATATATATTCTTATGTAAAAAGTTCACAGAGAGGTTGCCATGTGTGAAAGGGAGAAAGATCACCACAGCATCAAGCCAAGAAAATCATAGTAGTCAGACAGACAATCTGACCCTAAGCTGATAATTTTATATGTGGTTAGTTTCTATTCATCATAAAGATTTCAAGAGACAATTTATTTGGAAGTCAAATTTAAGGAATGAGAAAAAAGACTGGAGCAAATGCTTTCATACATTTTATTATGCTGGTGTACGAAAAGGATTACACAGGGAACTATTCATAAGCAAAATGGAAAATCCTTAAGGGAATGTAGAGGTCATCTTTTCTGAGAGTATTAACTTACATTTTGGAAAACATTTACTATAGATATATATTCCTAAAAACCTCCCCTTCAAAGCACTTCCTACATTATGTTAACACCAAATTCAAACACTACCACAACTTTTTGTATTCCACAAATGTTGGAAGTCCTTCAGTGAAAGCTGAAAACAGATTAAAAGGGTTGGCTTCTGGGGAGCTGAGGTGGGTCAAAATTATTCTGAAAGCCTGGCTAAAGGAGTCTCTCTGTACAATGACAAAGATTCCAGTACATCATAGGAGGCATAAGCACCACAAAGCCATGTCAATTATTGTACATGGTACCTTGCTTATACTTTAAGTGTATGCAATTTAAAGGCAAGAATACTTCTTGTTATTCTTTGAAATTCTCTTTACACAATAAATACTCTCAATGATGGCTGAATATGTTCCCTAGTGAGCAAAGCCTTTCCCTCCATTCTCCTTCCTCCTACTTCCTACTTCCAAATGAAAATAATCACTTCCCTCCTTGTATGGATGCATATTCTGGCCCTCATTGCAGATTTCCCTTTACTAATTACTGTATTTCTAACTGTATCACCCAAGACAGTTAGCATTCTTAAAAACAGAAAACACATCCTATTTCATTTCACAGACTAAAGTCTGTGAAATAGCGTATGTCATAGTTATGTTATTCTTGAAACACACACAGATGGAATTTTGACTCACAATCAATGACATTCTCACTGGCAGATACATTATATATTGAAAAAATGGTGACCTTCTTAGACTTATTTACCTCCACTTTTTTTCCTGGTTTCCCCTGTAGTTCAAAAACAGTAAAATATGTTTCTTTGGAATCATGGATGCTAATTTATGTGTCCTCAGAAAATGCAAAAAGGAGTAGTCATGCTTCATAAGTGAACAATAGCTCCAACACACCCATCATAAGGCCAAGCTTAGGATGCCTTCCACAACCTCAAAGGCCCGGAAACACCAAGAACATGCCTAGCTTTCTGGTCTTGTCACCCAAATGCTCTTCCATTCCTGGAACTTCCACTCATGGATAAATCTGTAGATGTCAGACATGAATGTTAATTTTTGCCTCTGAGCCAGTTTACACACAGATTTCCTTCTGATTCACCAAGCGCTAAGTTGCCATTACTGATTTCATGAAATCTTACCTGGTCAACCTCCCCTACCACCACAAACCCAATCACTTCACCATCTGTATGTTGTCACACCTAAATTGTTGTACTTCTGCTGTGTAATTACTTGTTCACACATATCCTACCTACTCTTTTAATAACTTAGGTATATACTTTTGAGGGCAAATATTGTATCCCATTGTGAAATCATTAAATATTTGATAAAATAGCCAAGCTGGTTTAATTTTTATGTACTAGAGAAGCAAAAGGGAAGTCAATTCTTACTAATGTTTTTAATTATCAGAAGATGACATAAAATTCTTGAAAGGTCAAACTCTTATCAGTTGCTCTCCTATAGTATGTACATAGTGGTCTGGGAAATGGCAGTGTTCTTGGGCTCACTAGGGAATGACCATGAAGGATGTAGGATTACTAAACAGTGTATGTATAGCTTGGGGGTTAATGTCTATCAACATTTGAATTTTAAAGCTATTAACAAAATGCTTTATGTAATGTTGGTTTGGAAAACTTGTAACTATAGCCTATTACAGTCTCTAAAACCTCTCTTTTTAGAAAGAACTTTTATCTAATGTTCATTTGCTCAAATAAAATAATTAAATCATAATAACTATTAAGAGATGCCACTAAATCCACAATAGCATTACAGAGCACACTGCACAAACATGAGTAGACTCTAACATTGCATAGTAAGTAACTGCATTTAAATTGTCCTTTGAGCTATGCTTGGTGATATAACCTATGTATTTCTCCTCTAATGACATTTTTAGTGAATGATAAATTTGGGTATAGATGATGAGAAATACAATCTTTCAAGATAAAATTTCAACTGCAAATCTGTCCTCCATAAATACAAATATTTTAATTCTTTTTAATAATATACACTCTAAGGCAACAACTTGATGTGTAAAATATAATAATCTACCAAGAACGTGGAAAGAAGGCATAGTAGAACCATCTTAAAAACACATTAACAAAACAAAAACAATTTGAGGATATTTATAGAATGGGATGGTATACCACAACCATTTCACACAAGGAATAGAGTAAAATGGAAAAAAAAAAATTAGTGGCTTTGACACACTGCAAGAACTTAGAACATAAGTAAAGAATTTTGTCAAAAGCTAAATATTATTCTTTTTACTAGATAAGGTCTTTTGAATAATTTCCCTTGCACAGGGAAGGGAGAAAAGGTATTGCCTCATAAAGAATAATCCTTGAGAAATCAAGAAAAATTACTGAAAATAGGGTAGGAAGAGACAGACAAGCAGTTACAGAACATAGAAGGTCTTCATTACATCACAACCTATGAAATAATTATTCAATCTTGTTAAACCCATTATTTCAGGTACCCCATAACCAGGAACCAAGTTCCTTCCTTTTGACTTTCTAAAATCACTCTAAAAATATTTGACCATTGCTGCCACATACATTATTCTTTCTGCAAATTAAAGATCAAAGTTCACGGAGATCTTGACATAATAAAATCTGATGAGTGGATGAACCCACTTCCAGCATGGATTGTTATCTAAGGGGATGCGTATTTCTAAGTCAGCAGACTGACTAAGTGTGGGATTTACAAATCATTTAAAGTGCCTGGAAATACAACTCAACATTTTAACTTTTACATGGAAACCAAATGTAGGTAATATGAATATAAATTATGTGTTACATTAGCACTTCTCAGTGTTTAGTGGGAACCAGAATCAGCTGGCAGGGTTTTTAAAATCTAGATGGCTGGATGCTGTGTTTCTGACTCAGCTAGGTCAGGAACAAGCTGCCTAGTGACAGCAATGCCGTGAGTCTAGACCACACATTAAGAACCACTGTGCTGTATGTTCTTTGAGGTTGATATTTCCATAAAAACTGATTCATAGCACATCCCTCTTAGACATGATTGGCCAATAGTGGGATCTGTCAACAGGAGAAAAACAAAACTGTTAATGTTATTAAGAAAGCAGGGCAGAAATACGTTGACAGGCAGTGGCAAGCACTATGGCTGTCTGGAAAGTTCATGTGCTGTGTAAGAGAGCATCCACTACTCACTGCCAACTGTTGAAACAGGAGGGAATCTGGGCCCAGGTTAGTTGGTCAATAACAACCACCACAGTAAAACTGACATCAGCTATAATAAAAGCAACATATATTACTACTTACTATGTACCAGACAAATGCAGAGATCTTGAAATGTATTATCACGTTTAACAAAGTAAGTCGATAAAGTGCTGCTAACATTTCCGCTTTACACATAAAGAAGTTAAGAAACAGAGAAGTTAAGCAACTTGCACGGGGTCACACAATTTACAGAAGCTAGGCCTCTTAAAGCAGACTGGATTCTGAGCCTCTGTTCTTAACCACAATATTTATGACCTCAGATCTTCCAGGGTTCTTAAGAGAAATCATAAATCCCACTCTCCTATGCTTATTTCCTGTTATTTCCCAAACTTCCATAACTACCCCTACACTCCCTGACCCCATGAAAACAATACATACATGTGTGGGCCATAATTACCCAGGTGCTGCCAGCTAATTAACCCTGACCTAGAAACTAACAGAACCTGCCAGTACCTTCCACTCAGTTTGCACTCATGATGTGCTAAATGCTCTCTGTGTGCAGATACTGCGCTATGCACTTTACAAGGATCTGTAAGTCCTTTCTATTTCTCACTACAGCCCTAAGATAGAAACTATTAGGTTTCCTGTTGGGAGAAAAGGAAAAAACTTTTTGAGCACAAAGTGAACAGATATCTTGTCCAAGGTACATGTGACCCACATACAAGAAAAGGAGGGTGGCCTGAAGACCAGCACCACCGGGGCATAGTGACACCCCCCTCAACAATCAGGACGATCTGAATTCCTCGGGGTTGACTTGAAGCCCAGTAGAAAGAATGGTAAGGAGGGGGTACATGGGGGAGAAGGCCTCAATACAAACCAGTTTCAATTGCCTCAGTGGTACGAATGGTTCAACTGTGGGCATTCTGAGAATCTGGATGTCCCTCCAGCATGTGGAAGAACTTGAGAGGTATAGAATCCCAGAGAGTGGGTTCACTAGCTAATTGAATCAGCTGCTCTTCCAGCGTTGGCTTTAGCGCAAGGTATTGTGCCTCTCCGGAGGCCCTCCCCTGGTAGGGCACACAGACCATGATGAATCCAAGCGGTATGAAAGACATAATAAACTCACCACAGAAGTTCAGAGGAAAAGGAAGCTAATTCCAAATAGGAAACCTGAAAAAGGACCTTCAGGAAATGGAAATTTGTACTAACCCTTAAAGGAGAAAATAGTATTCAAAAGCAAACGCATTGAAGCAGAAAAGCAATTTCAAGGAAGGCCGAGATAGGGTGATTATGAGGGGGGCCTTGAAGGACCAGAGGCTGTAGCAGGGAACATAGAAGATAAGCCTGGGAATGGAGCGTGGGAACCTACAGTGGAGCACACTAGTTTTGTATTCAGATGTTGGGACTTTTCAGATAAGTCACCAAAGTTTTTTGAAGTTAAGAACTACAAACTCCAAGTTGCACATCAGGAATATCAATTTGCAGGCAACAGGAGGATTCTGGATTGAAGAAAAAGTCACTGAGAACAGATCAACTAGAGAAGAGTTTTCCATTTGTGCAGGTAAGAGCAAAGGAGAAAGAATCTGATACAGACCTTACAGACATTTTCAGGGAGAGTTTCTGAATCCAAGACCACTGGAGAACATGGTGTTATGAGTAATGTGTGTGTCATTTGTATGCAAAGTGGAGTCCATAATCACATGTCCCCCTCCACCCCCCAAACACACATACTTCAAATGCAATTCATTGTCTAAAGATCATTAGCTTAGGTGATATGCTGAATCACGAAGGAAAAAAGACTATGTAGGAAGTAGAGTTTGAGTATGATGAAATCTGCAGCATCAATGAGACAGATGGGTCAGGTTAGCCAGCAGGGGCCAAATATGAATTATGGGCTCTGAAGACAAAACTACGTGAGAGGTGAAAGGAAACATCTCTTCTAAGGCAGAAAATAAACGAGCTCAGAGGCTAGGCTGCAAAAAGTAGTGAAGAGAGTAGACAGAAAAAGAAGAACAGGGGAGATGCCTAAGACTGGGGTTGTGGGAGCTGGTAATTTAAAAGGAGAAACAGGAGGTCCACTGTACTGGAAACCAAAGAACAAGAGACACAAGGAGGAAGTGATGGTCAGAGACATATCCACTCTTGGGGTGACATGTGATGAGTCTACAACTATGAGATCGGTGGTAACTTGAAGGAGATGTGGTAAAATCCCAATTTGCAATGGGGAGTGAGGAGCCCAGCAGGTCCACGAATACTATCCTTTCGCTATGACATTGATGAGAAAAACAAAATCCCAGCTGACACTGAACAAAACGTTATTTGATGACTGCTTAAAGTTTCATCTTCCAAGAATCTATAGATGACAGTGAGAACATACTGTACAAACAACAATTATCTTGCCAATAAAGGACAAATCAATTTAAAGGAGTTCCATGGAGAAACAAACAAAAAACTATTATATCAGTGTGGCTTTTCCCAAGGGCTTCTAGCTAGAGGTAGAGTAACTGTTCCTTCTGTGATGCAGAGTGAATGTGCTCCACGTCAAAGAGCAAGCAAAGCAGAGGGACTATATCAGAAGGTAGTCAGAATCACACAAGCCAGACACTCCAGACTCAGGCAGAAAATGGCTGTCACCAACACTTAGACTTACACATTACCTGGGTTTCTGATCACCAGCTCCTATCACATTTTAGTATAAAGCATTTGGGAGAGGGGAGGGAAAGGGGTCGAGGGGAGGAGAGGGGAGAGGAAAGAAGATGAAGGAGGAGGAGCACAGGGAATGACAGGGGAGGGTTGTTAAGAGAGGAGGGGAAGACAAGGGAAGGTTATGGGGAGGGGAGGGGAAAGGGAGGGGAAGAAGAGGACGTGGGGTACCAAGCATTAGGGATGGGAAGAAAGGAGGAATGATATAAGAGAAAGCAAGAATACAAAAGAGAAAAGAAACTGAATTTAAGACTTAAAGTAAATGAACCAGAGTTTTAAAATATGCCATACCACACTCAAAAAGTGGACTTTTGCTGCTTCTGTGATAAACTTAAACTGACAAATACAGGATCCTGGGGCATAGTAATAGGATGTCTACATTTATTTTTGAAATTCAGCTTAAAGATCAGATGTTTGTAAAATGACATCACTTAGTGGTATTCATTTTAAGCAGTTTTATCTAATGTATATTTAAATACTTCTATAGATTTTTAAAAATATTACCATTATGCATTAAATTTATCTCATATACATTAAATTTATCTCATTAATATTATCATATTAATATATGCTTTTAACCCTTTTAAGTCAATTACTCTTCAACAGAAATTCTCTGAAACTAAAAATGCCTGAACTATAAGTGAGTGAACCTGAACAATATCCCTGCCGAGACCACCTCCCAG